GGTCCCGGGGCGAGTCAGACTTTGAGCTTCATCTGCACAGACACTTTCTTGGCTCTCACTATCACTCTGGACCAGAAATGATTCATTCCTGCTCCATTGGGACATGAAATCCTTGACCTTCCGTAATGTTAGGACCGGGCAGGATCTCAGGCTCAGACAGCCCTCAAGGAACAAAGAGCTGGCCCTGGGGGGTGAAGGAGAGGACAGAGGAGGCAAGGGCTTCAGAGGTCACTCTTAGCAGAATTTTCAACTAACCATGAACCACAGATTTGTTTTTCAAACTGAGCTAACATTAGTTTGCAGCACTATTATCAGTTTCTCACTTCAGCACTCCACTCCACCACCAAACGTCGCGTCTCCATCCACCCACTCATGGGACCTTCTCCCCTTCCTCTTCCATCCCCTCTGGTAACCTGCCCTCTGCCAGGCTCTAAGCATTTGTTATCGTTTTGTTTTGTTCATTCATTTGCTTTTACTTTTTACTACAGACCACAAGCGAGTGAAATCATAGTCTTCATCTCTCTCCTTCTGACTCACTGCACTTAGTATCACGCCCTCAAGGTCCATCCCTGTTGCTGACAGTGGCAGGAGCTCATCTTTTCAGAGCTGAGTAATATTCTACTGTGTAGACTGGACCAAGTCTCCTGGCCCTCTCAGCTGGCACCAGGCTCGTGGGTTGCGTCTGTTTTGGGCTGTTGTAAGCTCTGCTGCAATGAACCCAAGAGGCACATACATGTCTTTTCAAATTCAAGTTTTCATAGTCTCCAGGTAAACGCCCAGAAGTGGAATGACAGGCTGATAGAGTTATTCTATTCTAAACTTTGTGTGAGCTCCCGCCATTCTGCTCTCCACAGTGGCTATTCCAGCTCCATTCCTACCGCCATTGTCCACACCCTCCAGCATGACGGCTTTGACTTTTGGGTAGTGGCCATTCTAGTGAAATCTCACGGTGGTTGTGATTTGCATTTCCCCAGGGACCAGCCGGTCCCAGCACCTTGTGGTGAGTCTGCTGCACATCTGTGTGAAATGCTGACTTAACTCCTCAGCCCCACAGATTTCTATGCTCCCCCAAAAGGGCTTGTTTTTCTGCTGTGAGGCCCCGGCGGGCTTCTCCATCCTAGATTTATCCTGAAAAGTTTCTCTAAGGAAAATAGGGCACCCAGAGAAGCAATAAAAAAACAGGGCGTTGGAGAAGCAATAGAAACCCTCGCAAGTTAGAAACTTGAGTTTCCCAGATAGAAAGTCAGCAGTTTGATTCCTTCTCCTCAGATGAAAAAAAATCAAGTTATAAGGAGTTTGAAAATAACTTTCAGAGGAGGAATAATGAGAGTTATTTTTAAAACACAATGAGGGGAGTCAGAGTTCTGACTCCTTCACAGGTGTGCCCTCCACAGACAGGCAGGCCTGGTGGGAGGCGGGAAAGTCACACGGGCCTCCGGAACATTCCAGGGGAGCTCAGCCTTAGGGATAGCCACTAGTCCTCCTTACAACTTCCCTCATACACATTCTTCGGAGGGGGTCTCCCCAATCACCCCAAAAGAAAGGACAATATTTTGGCCGCTGGACTGTCTAAGGGAGTCTGTCAGGGGCTGACTTGTGGTCCCCCATGCTGAAGACCTAACCCAGCACCTCACTCAGTACGGGACTGTATTTGGCGATGAGGCCTTCAAAGGGGGAGTTCAAGTGAAATGAGGTCATGAGGCTGGGCCTGGCCCCGCATGACCAACGTCCTCAGAGGAAGACCGCCTGGTCGAAAGACCACATGAACACTCAGGAGGAGACAGGTGTCTGCCCGCTCAGGAGAGAGGCCAGGAGAATCAGCCTCCGGGGTGGTGGAAACAGAACCCGCTGTGGTTTGAGGTGCTCAGCCTGCAGTGCTGAGGATCCTCTCTTGGCCCAAAGCAGTGAGGACGGTGCCACACGCTTTCCTCAGCTCTCCAGAGAGCGAGGAGCCCCTGCCTTTTTGCTCCAACTGCTGCCAACTGTCACCTCCTCCTCATGCCCCGTGGGTGTCCCTCGGAGGTGACAGAGAGGACAGCCATCCCCACCCGCAAATGTCAGAGCCTCCCCCCCCAACCCAAGCTCAGCCTCCCAGGGCGGCACTCCTTCTAGGCACAGAGAAACACGGCATAACCCGGACGCCTGACCTCGGGGTGCAGGCGGGTGGGCGGGGGTATCGAGCCCACATTTTGTCTCTCAGATGCCATGGGACCTCAGTGTGACTGAGGCATGCCAGGGAACCCCAGCATTATGGAAGAGCAGAAATGACGGCTTTGACGGGCTCGACGGCCCACCCTCTCCTCCCACGGCTCTCACATTAGAGCTGTCACTCAGCGCGAATCAGGGTTGGAATTTTCCTTTAAGTCAAAGAAGGCTGGAGTGGAGGTTGGGGGCCACAATAATCAGCACCGTCTTAGCCACAGATAGGGAAAGTGACCCAGTCACTGGACCTCTGTTTTGCTAACGAAGACAAGATATTCCTGTCGCACAGAAGCCAGCTGACCTCCCAGCCACCTCAGAGGCATCCATGTCCCCCAGACCCTTGGGAGAACCTCACCCTCATTGGCACTTAGCACCCTAATTGGTGGCCTTCCCAAACCTGCTCTGCCCACCCTGCTCAAAGCGCAGGAAGCCTGGTAGGTGACCCCAGCCAGCACCTGTGGACTGCACCCCTGATTTTGAGTGTCTCCTCTGCCGGCACATTCCCTCCTGTGGGGGGGCATCAAGCACCCCCAGCCCCGCCCTGGACTGTCAGGTTCTCCTCCCGGCATCCCCCTCTCCACTCTACATCTCCATCCTCCAGCATGACCTCCAGGCTTCCGCCATGACACGGCTGACATTTGGGGTGAGAGGGGTGCCCTGCTGGAGCTTAGCCGATGCCAACACCCCCAATCCAGCTGTGGCAAACAACTGTCTTTAGACATGGTCAGACCTCCCCAGACAGTTTCTTTTGGGCTGAACCTGTAAATCACCTGGGAGGGTTCCCTAAAAACACCTGGCTCTGCCCCCACACACAATTATTAAATTACCTCTTAAGAAAACCAGAAAGCTTGGAGGGTGGGGACTTGACATTGGGGCTTTCTGAAGGGCAAAGCAGCAGCCCCACCTGCCAGCAGAGTCATCCTCCCAGCAAGTGACCCAACTCCTTTTGTTCACCCCATTTTAAAACCGCAAACGGCACCTGGCTGGGCAGTGTCCAACTCACAAAGCGCCCAGTCGGGGGCCCTCCTTCAGTCCACTGGCCTTTCTGTCTGCCAGCCTCCCGCCGCGCCAGGCCCGCGAGCCCCCACCCCGTCCGCCCCCACGAAGCTCCCAGCATGCAGTTTCACACTCCGGTCCTTTGTACGTGCCTAGAATGCTTCTCATCTCATTCTCCTGGCAACAGAATCTACTCGCGCTCCCAGCTCCACTCAGCAGCAGCTCACCCCAAACCTACTCAGACTCCCCCCCACAGGAAATGACCTGTCCTCTGCCCTTTGCGTCTGTAGAAATTCCCTTGAACAGCATCGGCAGCAACGTCTGTCTGTCTTTCCCTGCTAGACACTAAGCTCCCAGACAAAGGGGTCGAGGGTCAAGCCCCGGGCTGGCTCCATCCAGCGCCAGGCCAGCCAGGCGCCTGCACAGAAGCCTGAGACCTGTCGGGGGTGGAATGACAGAATGATCAGAGCAAGAGGCCAGCTCTGCCCTGGTCTCCTCGTAGGTCTGTCTCTGGCCTCCCTTCCCAAGAAAAAGAAGGTGCCAGAAGCCACTCAGAAAGCTCCTCTATGCAGCACCAAGAAAGGGCAGCCCCACAGCCAAGGTCAAGGAGGGTGGGAAGGTGGCCTGGAGGGGGCCACAGGAGTAGCCACTGTGTTTCATCAACCGAAAAGCTATGGACAGCTCGCCACCTCCTTCTGCAACACCCTCAACAAATCCAGACATCGGGGGTGGTGGCAGCCCAGCAGTGGGCCTCTCTAGCCAGGGTGGGGAAGCCCAGCAGGTGCGGGAAAGGTGGGCCCAGCAGACACCCCAACCTCCAGCCCTGGGCGAACCTACCACTTTCCAGGCGACTGCAGGTGTGGGGGACACAGGGGGTCCTGAGCGTCCCCTCTCAGTTCAGGAATAAGGACACACCGCCTCCATTCCTGTCACTCACCCCAGGGGCCTTTACCATCGTGACTCCACAGAACACTTGCTCTTCGAAATTCCTCAGTGGTTCTCTGTGGATTAAATCAACCCACCTTCAAAGGCTGCAAAGGCCAGTCTGGCCCTCCCCACACAGTCCCTGCCTGCTTTTCCGGCCTCCGCTTCACTTGAACTTCAGACTCCATCGATACTCAGCAGCTCGTCCTCAAGCCCCCAGCCTCCCAGGCCACTGCGTTAGCACATGCTATTCCCTCTTCCTTCCCTTTGTGTCCACCCGGAATCCTGCTCCACATGCCCCAGTCACTTCCCAGGCCTCCACTCTGCCCTACAGCACAGAAAAGCTCAAAGCATTGCAGTCCATTTGAGGACGGCCGAAGGGCAGTCCGGAATCCCCCTTCACCTCTGCACCCCTGCGTGGCTGTGTGCCTGGGGCAAGTTACTCAACCTCTCTGAGCTTCAGTTTCCTTTCTGTCAAATGGCTTATGGTTTACTAGTTTATGGAGTAGGCGAGATCCTGCATGCAGGGGTCCTGC